TGTGTATTTTTTTCACAGTTCCAAAATAGTCATTTTGCATTTTAAGAAAAATCTCACATATCATTCCCATCTTACATTTAAACATTTCCCACCTCTCAGTTTTGCACTACATTTTCTGACTAGTTTTTTCTTTTAAATATATGAAGTGAATATATTTTGCTTTTTTTAATATCCCATATATATAAATGTATATGCATCATTAGTTACAATGCTCAAGTATGCAAGTTTCCATGAAACTGCTTTGTATTAATAGCAGTAGATAAATACAGGACTAGAAATCCATTGAATTATCTACATGGATAAGTGTATTTATGGACTTAAGTAATTTATTCAGAATTCAGGAGAGATGCAGGAAGGAAAGAAATCTTATTCCAGAGAGACTAGAAAAAAATGGAGACTATAAACCCAAACCAAAATTACCATAGAACTGTGAGAAAAAAATAAAATTTACTCCTCTTTCACTAAAAGGCCATAAAAATATCTGGATTGAGGAATACTAGGAATAAAGAAAGGCATCACACATCACCAAAGAGCTAGTTGAAAACTTAATGCAAATTGAGGAGGAATAGGACTTTAGCAGTGCACAGGAGCAATCTTCAGGTCACACAAGGGGAAAAAATACCTGCTTTTCTTTTTCAGAAGCACCAGATCTGGTATCATGCTTCAGAGAACAGCTCAGATGCAGCCACACCTGACCACCAGTCGGAAAAGGCTGCTTAATCACAGCTGTCAGAGAAAAGACAGACACAGTGGGAATGAGGAAAGGCTGCTAGTAAAGCAGGTCAGGAGAAGGGATAAGAGAGTCATACCTATTTAAAGATCTGATTCTACAAGAACTATTATTAATAATTTCCCTCTATAAGATGACACATAAATCTTTACAGTAGCAACTGCAGACCTAATAGGCAAAGAATATAAGGGGGGCAACGCTTTTTGTAGGGAAAGGCAAGGTCTTTTATTAGAACAGCTGCGGGGGGAAAAGGAAATAAAGTAAACAGAAAACATTTTGGATTTAGAGGCCTTCCAGTTTTACTCATCAAACACTGAGAAAGACCATTCACCACCCTGTAATGGCCTCATGTAGAATGCAGACTCTAGCTTCCCTGTGCGACTTGCTGTGGTGTTGGGAAAATACCTCAGAAAGAGAAGTATTGAGGACCAAACCAGTATTCTTCCCACCTGTTCCCCCATCTTAGCTAATCTCAGCAGGAGCTGAAAGCATTTTGCTTGATGTGAAGCAAAAAAATAGATAAATATTTTACATGAGAGCCACAATTAATATAAAGAAATTAATGAGTTCCCTTTTAGTGAAAGGAGCTCAGCACGGAAATAAAAATGAAATTACATAAAATGGATCCTAGGAGAATAAATAGAGAAAGAAGCTAAGCACACAGAACTAGAGTTTCGAGAAGTAAGAGTCACTGCTGTGCATTGGAAAGAAGGGACAAAGACGAGCTGAGATTCACAGTGCCAGTCTATCCAGCCTCTGCTGTGCAGGACTGGCGTCACAGTTGGAAGCCAAGCTGAAGAACTGTTCTCGCTTTCTTAAGATAGCATTTCCATTTTGTGCCTCAATGGAAGCACTTTTCCCAACTCCTACTCTCTCTGTGCTAATATGTACCTGCTGGAACAGTAAGTCCTGTTATTTATCATTAACCATACATAACCCATTGACTTCATGGGTCAGCCCACTATGTTATTTGTACCATCAAATGCAGGACTTTTATTTATACTTCATGGCCTGCTTGGCTTTGTACCATGTGCCACAGAAGTAGAAGATCCATAGCTTTCTCCCCTTTCACCCTGGGGGCTCTGAGTGACATCTGCCACCATGAAAGCCTGGCAATCCACTGCAGCAATGAGAACTCCCTCATGCTAGAATGGGAACAACAGGTCCCTTTCACCTTGCCGCAAAAATCACAGTGCTATCAACAACACTGCATGTTTCTCAGCACTCAATTAGAAGAAAGTGTCGGGGTTAGGCGGACGCCCACCGAGAGCCAGGCCCTGCTCTGGGTCCCCGAGGGGGCTCTCTGAGGACGTGGTCCCACCCAGCACTGCAGCATTTCTAGCGGAGAGGGAGGCGCACAGGACCCCGGGATGGGGTCAGGGCCGCTCTCGCCGCTTCCCGCACGCCAGGGACACCGGGAGCCACGGCTCCGCCGGGCTCCGTCCGCGCCCGCCCGCCGGCCCGGTCTCGCCGCGGCAGCTGCAGCCCCCGCCCCGCCCGAAGCCCCGGCGCGGCACCGCGCTCAGCACCACGGACAGCGGCGGGGCCGCCGCCGCCCCCCGCCCCCGCACCTTTCCGGATGAGCTCCTCGCTGTCCGGCTCGTAGCCCGCGCGGTGGCAGCGCCTCCAGAGCCCCGAGACGGTGGAGTTGAAGCGGCGGCCGCAGTGCGAGTCCAGCGCGGCGGAAGCGGCGGCGGCCGGGGCGGGGGCCGGGGGGCGGCCGGGCAGGAGCGCCCGCGGGGGTCGGGCGCGGAGCGGCAGGTGCGAGCTGGGCGCCGACATGGAGCCGGGCGGGTCGCTGCGCTTGTGGCCGAAGCCGCGGCAGCGCTCGCGGTGCCGCCGCGCGTCCGTCTCGTACCAGGAGTCGGTGCCGATGGCCACGGCCAGGAGGGCGAGGGCGGCGGCGGCCAGGAGCAGCCCGGTGCCGCTCAGCGCCTGAGCCGCGGCCGCCATCTTACCGCGCCGGGGGCGGCAGGGGCGGGCGCTTCCCTGCAGCCCGGCTGGGGCCGCCGCCCGCGGCACCGCCCCGCCCCGCGGCGCCGCGCCGGGCTCGGTCCCGTACCGCGGCATCCCCCGGGCACGGCCCCACGGGGGTCCCGGAACCGCCCCCGCCGCGGCGCCCGCTCCTGATCCGAGGGCCCCTCCCTTGGAGGAGCCCGTGTCCAGGGCGGAGCGGGGGTGGCCGCGGGCAGCTGCCGGGGGATGGATGACCGGAGGAAGAAGTGAACGGACGCTCCGAGCCTTTCCGCGGCTTCCTCTGGCCTGGCAGGCGCCCGTCCCGCTGGCTTGGGCAGGGCAGGGCAGAGAGCAGCCCTGCTCAGGCCGCGGGAGCCAGCAGTTTTTCAAATGTACACGAAATGCAAACACCACCTGAAACATCATTTGTTGGCTTTTGGATTATGACTTCCCCTCCATCCTTCATTATCAGTTAATGGAAAATAAGGCCTGAAAAATGTCCATCTATTTTATGCAATGAGAAGCAGATTAAATCCAAGCCATTAGTTAAATGCAGCATTTATAGGGGCACAAAATCCTTTCTGATCCTGCTTGTTGTATAGGGCTTGTTCCTCCAGCTGCAGCACTACAAGTCAGTCCCCAAAGCCAGTTGTTAGGGCATCATCTCATCAATTCTGGCCTCCAGATAAAATGATCTAGTGATTTGCTATGCCTAAACTACTAATTTAATGTCCAATTTTGAAATCCTTAGCTTTGGGGTTTTTGTGTTAGAAGTAGTTAATTGGTTCCCAGGAGCAAATGCTCAACTGTAGGAGATTCTGATCCTTTCTTTTGCCCCCACCTCTCCCTTGCCACTTCTTGGTCTCTCGGCCACACTGAGCACAACCTAAATATGCTCCCCAGCACTCCTCCCAGCAACACTGGCCAGAACAGAGTACTGCTTATCTCACCTGAGCAGTCTGCCTGCTGGAAACATGCAGCAGCCACAGCTAAAGCTTGCTCTAACCACATTTCTGCATGATCCTCTTCCGCAGTTTGCACTGGACAGATGGGATTACCATCCATGCAGCTGCACACTGGTGCCTTCAAGGCAGACAAATTGAAAGGGCTGCTGTCAAAAGAATTTTCTTACACATACCAGCTAAATTAAGTCTTCCACAGCAAGAATGAAAAATAATTTTCAAATACAATCACTGCTCTAGCTAACATGGAAAAATCCTTCAATTCTAATAGCTCTTTCCCAGAAAAGTCCAAATAGTCACATTTCCTAAGTCTGCAATCCTATTATGTCACCTTACTCTCCATATGAGCTCCTCAGATACAGTTTCAAAAGACTGGGGCTTCAGCAACACCATCATCTTAGAAAGATCCCATGAATTAAACTCAACATGTTCTCCTTTCTGTACTACTGCAATTGTGTCAGAGCCATTCTTCCCAGAGCCTCTGAAACAGATAGCTGATTAATTCATGATAATTTTGATTACTTTTGAGAAGGAAAAAGGAATGATGGAGAAAGGCTCATAGGGCAGGAGTACCAGCACTGCCCAAGAGTGCAGTGTGGTAAATCCAGGGACAGAGATTCCAAAATGTAGATTACTGGCAAAATCCAGACTGTGACATCATGCCCTTCATCACCTACCTACTTCCATCTTCTTCCAGCTCTTGGGTTATGGTTTTCCTTCTTTTTACAGAAGACTTTGGGTGAGAAAAGATACAAATGCACCATTAATAGCTGAAAATCTTCCAAATGAAGGGTGGGATAAGACATTTTCTGAACCCATGTTTTTGAAGGGTAGGGAATTTCCTCTTAGTCCTTTCAGGGCAATTGGAACACACAACCTTTCATGATGGCACCTTTGTCCGACATGGCAGGTATCCAGCTTAGTGTTAACTGAAACCACAGGCCTTGAGGGTTTTTGATTTTAAAAAATAACTGATTATAGTCAAATATGATTACAAAACTCTCTGAACAGTAAAGTTACTATGCAAGCTTTCCCTGAAAGAGGAGAAACTAATTTGGTGATGCTTTTCAGGGAACCCTGAGAAGCACTCAAGAATTATGATTCCATCACACTGCTCCTGGACAACAGTTCCATGGCAGCAGAGAGAAGAAACTGGAATAGAAATTTTTCTTTCAGCTGTGTAAGTCTGGGGAAAGTCTGACAGCAACCCAGAGTCCACACTGCTCTAGACTAACCCAGAGATATGTCTGTGTAATTCAAATGAAATTTAAATTGAATTTTTAAATCAAAGGAAAGTAGAAACTTCAAAAATAGCCTAGACCAACCAAATAAAATAATCCAACAACAAAAACTGACATGGAAAACTATTTATTTCATCTCTATTGTCTCCATGCAGAGCAGACCAATACAGATGAAGGGAGAAAATGCATAAGAGCAGCTGAAAAAATAGAGCTAGAAAATACAATTCTCTCTGCATTTCCAAAAGTGACAAATGTGGTGGAGTGATGCTCCATTTCCTCCCAAGGCTCTCAATCCTCAGCCCCAGGGCTGACGCAGTAGAAATCTATTGAACTCCTCCCTCCCACAAGCCCCATGCTACCTCCTACCCGGGTATCTTCCCAAGAACCACAGACTATCCATGCCTATGACAGCAGCCAAGAAAAACAGCTCAGAAATTCTTTGTTCAGTGTCATCCACTTCACATTCCTGAACGCTGAGTATAAAATCCTGACTATGGTTTTGAGTCTTGGCAAGGCTCAGTGCTGATGCAACAACGCCAACTCATGGGCACTCACCTGGCAATGCCTCAACTTAAATGCCAGCCTTATTTTGGGAAAGACATCTTGAGAAACAGCAGGCACAACTTTCTGTGCAAGCTTGCTTCCTCCAGAACTCTGTTACAGGGTCTGCTTAGCTGCAGTCCCTGGGCAGAAGGAACCCCCAAAGGTAGAACCAGAGGGTTGGCATACTCCCCCAGTCCCTGCAGGCTAACTAGATTAATCATCCTTCCAGGAAAGCAGGAAATGGATGCTACCTTCAGACCTCACGACAACTGAATGATGGAGAGAGGAGCTGGCACATAAACAATTGCACTAAGCCTCCCTCCTTGTTGCAGTGAAACTAGTTACTAATGTAAGTCCAGGGAAAGGAAAGCTGAAAAAATTTCAGACAGCAGTTCCTGGGCAGACAGAACTGCAAGCATGAGCTCTCCAGCACTCACTGAAAAGTAGGACAGGAGCTGTCATAAAAAAGAACTGTGTCAACAGTTCAGGAATCTCTTAGGGAAGTAGTGCCTCTCCTGTGGGCAGTATACCTGCCTTGCTGCTCTGACCTAAATCGCCCTCTCAAGGCATGAGTCCTCTTGGTAAGGCCCTGGGCAGACTGGAGAGCTGTACTGTTTCACAAAAGCTGTTAAGGCTGAGCCAAGTTGGTGTAAATCACACTGTGGCACCTGTTTTGTGTTCAGTGACTGTTAATTCAATTAGACCTGGTTTTAAATTTTCAAATTGCCAAAGATTTTATCCCAAGCATCACATAACAGAAAACTCCTCTTAAAGCATACTTATTGTCACCCTTTCATATCCCTTTCTCACCTTACTTAAAAATATTTTCAGCAGCAGTTTCAACCTTCCCATCTAAAAGCTGTCAGCATTATTTCTTATTCATTCATCCTCAACAAATGAACTCCACTGTGAGATAAGAACCCCAGAAATAGGCTGCCATCTACAGCATGCTCTTAAATAGGCTACACTGAACAGATGAAAAGCAAACCAGGAGTTATCAGTTGCTGACCAGGCTGTAGTGTTCAAGCACCTCTGCCATGACAGTCTAGGGGTGCTGTAGCATGCTGTGCAGGTCTAACATGCTGCACCTCAAGAAAGCTCTGAAACAGGGTGTGGGGCAGATGAATGAATCAGGTCTCATGAGCAGGCTCAGAAGCGTATTCAGCTAATGGGTATGAGGAGAGGGAGCTCAGTCACAACAGCTACATGGCTTTCCCTCCATGGTAGTTGGCAATTGAAGAAACATTTACTGATCATTTATCAGATAAACAGTTGGGCTGTGCTGGCTACTGGAGTGGTTAGGGCTGAGGCAAGTAATCTCCAAGCTGAGTCATTTAATTGTAGTGACCTACCCTAAAGTGCCTCAAGCTTTTGGCTCAATTTCAATGTAAACAAAATAGACCAAAAGAGCTGGACTGCTGAGGCCAATATTACCTTTAGGAAAAAGCGGTGTCAATGAACAGCTGGAGATCAAGTTGGAAAGGGTCTCTTCCCATCTATCTCATAGCACCATCAACTTCTCATGGCTAGGGGGTTCTGGCTAAAGCTTTGTCATGCCTGTTCTGCCTCCAGCCCTTAAAGTGGTAGGAAAAATCCTTTATCTTCATCAGCTACAGGAATCACTTCTGCTGTTTTCACACAAGAGCTTGGGAGATGCAGTTCCATCAGAATGAACCGAATGAAACATCATTCACTCATAGTGGAGCAGTTGTTCAGTTCATTTCTGCCCAGTGTATCTTTTGCTCCATAAAAACCAACCAAACAGAAAAGGAACAGAAGCCCTCATGTGTGGAGCTTAGCAGAACAGGGATAGGAGAGCCAGGGAACGAAGTCTTGCACAGCCAGACCTCTCTGTCACCCGCTTCTCATACTAGCAGCCAGATCTGCGCGCACACACGTGGGAAGTAACATTAGTGTTCCTTATTGCTTTGTAAAGCTCAGAGTCACTGTGGTGGCTCTGGGAGGCATCATGAGGTCTGCGCAGAGGTTACTCAGTTGTGAGCGCGAGTAGCACCATGACTGTAATGCCCGTACACAGGAGCAGAATTTGCTGCAGGGAATTCCTGGGAAAGAAACAGCAAAATTAGGAGGAGCCATAAACCAATCCCCATAGGCAGCTGCACAGAGCTCCCCAATGATTTGTTCTTTGCCTTTCCAAATTTACCATGTGGTAAACACAACAGATGTATGAAGCCACTAGCATAGATGAGAAGACCTTCCCAGCACCCCAAGCAAAGGAGTTGTCTATAAACTGGCATGGACTTGCTCCACTCAGCTGCAAGGCCCAACTCCAGGCTTCCAAATCAATGCAAGCTGATTGAGTCATGCAGTTATTCAGGTACATATTCATGTCCTTTCACTCACGAGGAAACCAGCACTTATGCAGCATGTGCACAGACACTTCAGGGACCTCATCCAGCTAACAACTACAGTTACAGAAAAAAAACCCCAACAAATTTGGCCATTCTTTTATCACTGTCTCAGGTTTATGTTGGATTGAAGCGACTGTGTGCCTCCCACTTCTGCAAATTCTGCCAACAACCTCTGCCAACACAAGAGGTTACCAACCCAAATTAACATTTCTCCACAAAGTTCCTACCTCCTCAGAAAGAACTGTGGAGCTGGTTTTTTGAGCACTGTTTCAGTCAAAATTAACTAGGTGAACCAAGGCATCTTATTTAAACTACTGAAGTTACTTGTATTATTACAACTGAAATAGGAGGGAACATTCAGGACCATCTCTGGCAGCAGATCTGAGAGCAACAGCTGGATTTGGACCTGCTACAGCCTTAATCAGACTGCATGAAACTAAAATAATACACGAGGGAAACACAAATACATTGGCATATATATACCAGTGCAGAAAAGAGATGTCTGAGGTGGAATACAAGGAGACACTATGAAATGCTGAGTGATAAAGAGAAGAAAACTATTATTTTTCAACTCACACAGCAACACAGTGATACCTAATAAAAAAATCAATATGCAAGAATGTAAAAACCAAATAATAAGAAGCATCACTTAACACAGTAGAGTCAAACTCTGCAAACTGCTGCCAGAAGGAGGTTGCAGAGGGGTGACTTAATGGACAGGGTCAGAAAGGGAAGACAGAAGCATGGAAGGATAGGTTCACATGTGGTTATCAGACATGCACACCTCTGTGGGGCCCTGGTTCAGACAGTCCCTACAACAGTATGTACTGGAAGCTGAAAACACAGACTGGGCAGTGGTATCCTTAGTGGACATGCTTCCCAGGAACTTGCTCTAGCTGGCCCTGCTGCATACTGTGCCAGCACAGTCTCTGGGACTTATCCAGGTGAAAGCTCTCATGTTACAGAGCGTCTTTGTAGTCCCACAAATGCAACAGATAGCAAGTGGTGTATTTTGATTCCAGCCTTGTCGGAAAGCTGGCATTCACACACTTGCAGAAGAGGCACAGGGAAGGGTTATATTCCTGCCCCCTGGCAGCACAAATTGCTGCAGAGGAACAGGAGGGAGCACTTACCAAGGATTCTTTTCCTCCAGGAGATCAGGCACAACATTTACCAAGGCAATGTACAGAAATCCTCCAGAAGTGAAAGGGAGGATCCAAGCTACTGTTTCTCCTGCACAAATACAGAAGGTTATTACTGAGACAGAGCCAAGGGACACAGCACAGAAGGGAAAGAAGATGCAGAAGGATGACAAGCACTGCCTCCTCCCCCATTTCTACAGAGGTCCCAGGGAACCTTACCTGCTCCTTTTGGTGACTGAGCACATATTGCAAAGCAGGCTCCTAGAATTCCCCCCAGAGCTGTGGAAAGCTGCATCTTGGCTGCACTCCAGCGGTCAAAGCCAGCCCGAAGTAGGATTGCGAAGTCTCCAACCTAAGAAAACCAAGAGCTGACAGTTAATGAACTCGAATACCAAATTCTCAATCACAAAGGTCATTCACAACAAGGCCAGTGCTTCAAGACTGTTCCTGGTTTTCAATGTTGTCGGTTTCCCCAGAGGGAGCAGCCTTTAAGAAGACCAGAAGATGTTAACCAGACCCAGACCTCCTCCTAGTAGATGAAGCACATTGTAATCCCCCTCACAATGGCAGGATACAAAGCCCTCTCACCTCATGTGGGATTTCATGCAGGAGAATGGCCATTGTGGTTAGGAACCCAACCTGCAGCAAAGAGAAAGCAATTAGGAAACAATTCCAGTATTCTTGGATGAATCTCATCAGGTCCCATACACCTACAGTGATCAAGCTGGAGCAGCAGATACCACATCAGTGCAGGGTTGACTGGGAGTTTATAATTCTCACAGTCATGGTGCTCCAGCTCAGGGCAATGGGGACCCCATAGCCCATCATCAGTGTGGAAGACAAAAGCAAAAATGCAATAAACATTTCTGCCTTGTCTATGTCCCAGTTTCTGAGGTGACCATCCTCATCATGTTATTTCTGGACTGCCTTTTGAGTAGATGAGGGTAGATGAGCTAATCCATCCCCTAATGCCAGTACAAATGACTAATGTGTCCCAAATTCAAAGAAGCTCTGCATCAGAGGATCAGGATAGGGCTGAGTTTTACTGTAGCCTGCATTTTCTCAGAAAATTCCAGCAAAGAGGAAGAAACTCCTTGCATTTTTTGGCTGTTTTGCATATTGTATCATACTTGAGACAAGGCCTCTTCACTTCAGTACACAGCTGGGGACAGAAACCTTACCTTTCTGCTAACCAGGAAGCTGGCTGCTACTGCCAGGCCATGTGTGAAGTTATCAATGGTGTTGGCCAGCAGATTGAGGTATCCACTAATCTACAAAGAGAAAGAAGAGCCCCTGATAAAGGAAGAGACGCAACAAGATAAAAAAGCACATGGCTTAGACATGGGTTATGCAGTCACAATCAGATGGGAAAAGACAGAGCACAATGCTTCTGCTGAAAATCCTAAACTCTGTCAGTGCTTGAGTACAAATTAAATTAATTTTTGGTTTTAGAGTAAACTAAGTTCCAGGGTAGGCAAGTATTGTCTGAGATTAGAATAATTACTGTATGCAAATTATGAAGAGCTCTAGAAAAAGAAAAAAAAAAGAAAGCCAGAAAGCAAGAATATATTTAATTTTAAGTCAAACCAATTTTAGGTAACACTGACTAATTTACAGAGGTGACTGGCTTCAAATATGACTTGATCTTGTTTTCAAGTCATGTACTTTAATATCCAACTGTTAAATATCTCCTCTTCAAGAGCTGGCAAGAACAATGCAACAGAACAAATGCTGCTGGAATTGCTTTCTATAACTGAATAAATCTTCAAACATTGTACCAAAAAAGTTCGTACTTGTGGGTTTGCTTTCCCTTAACAAAGAATCAAAAGAGAAGATAGTGATGACAGTCACCAAAAAAACACCTACTAGAAGGCTGGATAGCATGTATCAGCATTTGCATATAAACACATTTCTTAAAATTATAAGCATAAAGCAGCTGTCTTCTTCACAAGTCCATCTCCAAGTTAAAATTCCCTATCATTCTAACTAGGGTCATCTCCTGACAAAATCTGAGTATTTGACCTAAAGTAATTTACAAGGGCACCACCCCAGCTCTTTAGCTCACAGGTTTTTGGGTTTTTTTCCATCATATTTAACAAAAACTACTTCATGTTGGTCCTGAGATACTGCAGTTCACTATATGGGACTGCAGCTTAAATTACTATCAAACCAGGAGTTAGCCCATACATCAGGCTGTCTCTAGAGTGCAAGAACTCCAGATACAGGGCAGTATCCAGTGAGTGGAGACACTGCCTGGACACTGTGAAACTCTTACTTCACCACAGCACCAGATGCCAACGTTCAGCTGGACAATCACAAGTGCTGATGCACTTCATTAGCTCATTTTGGTCTTGTGCTCTTCTCTGTTTCTATCAACTCTGCTTGAGGCATCTTGCTGCCATTTGTATGCCACAGCTCAGGAACGTTCTGTCAAATCTCTCCAAAGCACCACCTTCCTGCAGGGCACTTTTACTGCACTGTCTTGGGGCACCTTTGTAGCCTCTATATTTTTTGAAGTGCAGTGATGATTACATACGAAAATTAAGAATTAAGCAAAGCCTACCCCACTTTTAATAAGCTAAGTAACATCCCCACAATGAATGCAAAAGAAGATCCCTGCATGTTTTTATAAGAAAGGAAACCCAAATAAATGCATGCAGGCAGACACAAAAATGCAACAGTTTTACTTCTCATTCTTCATACACTCATTCCTAGACAGTCAAATATGACTAAAATTCTCCTTTTCATGTTGTTTTTTTTACATGATGGCATTTCCCCCACAGGATAATAATAATTACTCACAGAAGTTTTACACAAAAATGCTTTCCCATACCACAGTATAGAGAAAAAATAGGCTTCATGATTAAAACATTATGACTTTTTGTTGTCAGTGGCTTGGGCAAAAGCTGTCACTGAAAGAAGCAAAGCTTTGGAGTGCTCAGAAATAAATTGGGTTGATTTGACAGTTATGAGCCTCTGACATTTACATTCTGCGAATCCCTAATAGGATGTTCTCGTTGCTCATAAAGAGCACAGCCAGATGAAGTGTTTACTTTCATGCTTCAGAATTAATGTCACTGTGTAATAAAAAAATACTTCCACAAATCAACCAGGACCCCATGAGCCACAGGGAGAAAGAAAGAAAGAATAAGCAAGGCAAAAGTAGCGTACACAATGTTTTTACCTGTTGAGGGAATAAAGGCTGCAATGAGGGACAGAACAGATCTATGGCTGCATGCAGAGGAAACCTCCCATCTGCCATTTTCAAGCTAGGACAAATTTTCTAGCAGCAGCTAAAAAGCAGAAGTTCTAATATATATATATGTGGACAACAGTCAACTCACTACAACTTACTAATAATAAAGTCCTGAAGGGTGACTTTGTTCATTTAAATAGTATCTTTCCCTTTTTCTTGGCTGAAAAAATGGGGGTTTCTGAGTGAATAGAAGAACCAAAAAAATCTGTCACACCATGGATTTCACTCCTTCCTTCACGAGTACCTGCTCTGTTCACTCCCAGCAACACCCTGCACTTCCCTGCACACACAGCACGGCACCCTGTCCCCAGCTGCAGCCAGGCGCATCGGCCGGGCAGCACGCGGCACCCCAGCTCCAGCTGTGGCTTTCAACAGGGCATCCCTCTGCCTTCCCCCTCTACTGTCATGCTGATTTTTATGGAACTTGCAGAAATCTGATCACCCTCAAGACTCCTATCCTCTCTTGAACTCAAGGAAAATTAATTATGGGTTCAAAAGTTATTGAAAATGAAGGGCAGAACAGATGGACAGACAGATGGAATGACTGCTTATGTTGTTGCCTAAGGAAACAGGCTAACAACGCAGGAGTATCTCGGTAGGTTTGATAATTTCTACCCTACCAGGAAAACTATTAAAATATTCAGATTAAAAGACCAGAAGGGAAAAAGTTAAAACTACACCCATTAAGTCTTATGTTTCTAATTCATGCATATCAACAACTATCTGTAAAATTGAACAGATGTATTAGGGTTTTAAAGTTAGAAGGTTGCCTAAACCTTCCAAGTAACACAACTGAAAGAACTTAATTTAATTTGTGCATATATTTCATTGTTTCTTAAGCTATCATGTACTCTGTAGAGAGCAGCTTAAAGCACAGCTTACAGCTCACAAATGACAAAAAGTTGGCCCACTGGCAAGTTACCCTCAGTTAGAGAGTTGTCTCTAAGTTCTAGACTACTACTGTTTGCTATAGCTGTAACTATCCAAATTTAGTCATTCCTCTATGGGTATTTGTATACTCTAAGTCACCCTTGATCTGCCATGACTACAGAGCTAAACTAAAGAAAGCCACTTGTCATGTACTGCAAACTTAAAATATTATTTCATCTCTTTCTGGGCTCCTTTACAAATTATTAGTAGTATTTTGGAGATTTGGAATAGCACAATTCCAGCAATTGTCTGGAAAAAGCCAGACAGCTGTTTCACTACTGCTATACAGAAAGAGGAACTCTCACCTCTCCTCTTATATATTATTTCCTACTCACCCATCCTCCTGGCTGTAGCACCATGAGGGAAGAATGTGTTCAGACAATTTCCTACTGTAATCCTCATGTGTTTTTCCAAGGCACTGACTAAATAGAAACTATCCCTATCATGTAAATATGATCTGAGGTCCCTCTTAATCTATTCCTTGTAATTGGATGTATCAAAACCTATTAAAAATTCAGCACATTTTTCTGATGAAGTTACTCAGTTTAGCTGCTATCGCTGACTTCATGCAGTCACAATGTGCCATTTATGTAACACAGTACCTGCAAATGTGAAGATATACTGTTTTTATAAATAATAACTTAGAAAAATCATAATCCAAACAGATTTGAGGGGGGCTGCATTAAACCAGTTCCTTTTGATAACATAGAATAACAGATTTTTAATACAGCTAATATTAGCAAAGTTGATTAGAATGGGGGAAAAAGTTATGTTTTATATACATGTCATGACCTTTATTAAACAATTTTATGCCTGAATAAGAGGCAGGAAGAATGTCTGGTTGATAAGAATTTATCTTACATAAAATCATATCAATTAGGATTAATTACATTATTATTTTTTATATTGGAACCATACCCTGAGCAATTGTATCACCTATCTGTGTTTCATTTCTACTTGAAAACAGTAGTCTATAGTTCCTTATATAAACCCTTCTAAAATTAGGGCACAATGTTTCATAACCCAGTAATATTGGTATCTTCACTACCACCACCTCTAGGAACATCCACATGGCACCTTGCACTTTGTGCAGTGTTATGTACAAATTACATGGATGTGACAGATGTCAAAAATACTCAGTGACCTCAGCATAACTTTCATGTTCTGTAGGAAGAGCTATAAAGTTACAGCAAAACAGATTTAAAATAGGAAGACTGAAGAGCCTCTGCCTGACCACAGAGTTCATGCAAGCACACTTTCTGCCCATAGTTACTCTCGTACAATCTTGCACATTTTTATGGGATTTCAAACTCAAATTGCAGGTCCTCCTTCACCAAAGCGGTTGTTTACTCTCTCTCTTGTAATGTTCACCCAGAAAGGGTTTTCCACAGTACAAAGATAGTAACATGGAACAGGAAGCAAAGCCAATGTGGAGGTTATCCGCTTCCCCATGGTGCAGGACTCTTCCTCCCCCTCCAGTCCTATGAGCCTGCTGATCTCCCTTACCCCAGCACTACAGGCTGCCTGTCTGCATGCCAAGCTGATTCAAGAAGTTAAGTTAGGAGAGAAATAGACCAGGGGGTGGGAGGTGGGTGTGTGGGTGTAGACAAGCAAATTCTTTGCCTGTTTAGCTCCCTGAATAGGCTCACTGTGAGGTCAGATGAGATCCAGTGCAAAGGAAGCGATGGGAAATACAGCTTTGGAGACAGAAGTGGACAAGAAGTCCTTTTTGGCAGCAGATAAACTGATAATCTAAGAAACGGAACTTTTAAATTCTACACTAGTAGCTTCAACACACTTCCTAAAGGTGTCAAAACACTTCCAAAAGGTGCCTTAAAAGGAAAAGTGCAGCTCAGAATCAGTACAATGCAGGCAGTAGAGAACAGAGAAATCATGGTGCAAAAAATTAAGTAAATAAAGACATATTGACTATAAAATATAGAGTAACAAAACATGAAATTCTGTATTTTGGTACCAGAATTCAGCCAACATACACATCATCACACTTGTGTCTTTATAGTATTGACTCTTCCTCTTCCACATAAGCTGCAGTGTAGATTTTCTCCAAGTCTGCTATATCTTCCCTGGTGTGACCAGGACATACTTTGACAGAGCAAAATTAAGCACAACTCAAACACCGAGCTCCTCACTCAAGCACAGTCTTTCCACAGACAATTCCTGACTAAAAAGTGAAGGTGAGTTTGTGGGCCTCTTACCTTGATTCTGTTGTTTTTTGGACCAGACTGGAGAGAGGAGCCATTACACTGAGCTCGTGCTCTTTGGGACCCCTTGGGCAGCGGGCAGCCACTTCCATTGGGAATCTTTCCAGACGATGCTTTGGAATCACAGTCCTAAATTAGGTGAAACAAACTTGTCACTGATTTTTTTTTCAGTGATGAATGAGCATGAATCAGGATCAGAAATTCAACCTTCACCCTTAATCCTTTTGTCCTTACAATGTGACTCAGCAGCTTTGACACCCCAGTTTAATAACAACTGCCAGAAATGAGACAGATTCAGAGAGCATTGTGACATCTGCCCTGAAAGACAAGAGCTAAGACCTCCCAATCCTCAAGAGAAATAGAAAGGGGAGGAATTGGAGTCACAGCCCCTTGGCATGAGTAAAGTTCCACCAGAAAGATAAGGAACTGAGCCTGCACCTCCTGATAGAGCTACCACCCAGACAAATACAACTCTATCTGGGCAGGAGATGGGGAAAAGAGTCTTGCTCTCTCCAGTGCATCAGAACAGCCAAGTCTACAGAATTATTCTATAGCTGGGATCATCACCTTCCAAACAACAAGATATTTACCCAGGATTTCAGCCTCTCTCTAAATGAGAAGATGAAGTTCCTTTCGGGCATTAAAGTCTCACAGTGAGTCAAAGTTAACACTAATTGCTCTTACGTAGTGCCTGACCTGCAGTTTCACCTCTCAAAAGTCATGGCACAGCAAGGACTCAACAGTCTAACAGAGCTGCAATTAGGAGTTGTGCAGATCTCTGAAGACTAGGTGCTCTCCTCTGTCTTGGAATTACCTTCTGCTACCTCATCTACTTCTCCCCTTTGCAGCTGGGATTTGAACTTGGGATTTTGAACTTGGGATTACCTGGCCAGTCATAAATCCCTTCCACCACACAAAGTCACCCAAACAAACATCTGGTTCAGGACATAACCAAGAAGAAACATCTTCAAGAAGGCTGGCCTTTGTCCTGACTGAGGACCCAGAAAGGGAATGAGCCACAATGGGTCTGTGGAACATGCATCAGCAAGCTGTCACCCCTCAAAGCTTACTTGAGCAAAAGTCTGATTTGCAGAGTGCTCCAGCTCCCAGCCCCCACAGAACAGGAGCTCTCTTTTACACTTACCACATAAAGAACAAAACCAAACCAGAAGTGAGAAATCTCAGTTAAAACCACAAAACAAAAGCCTGAAGATGAAACCTACTCCTACAAAACAGTGGCAAAGAAGTGGCAAAAAACTCCCAAAGGGCGATGACAAGGTACTCACAGCTACAGGATAATTTCCTGACACTGTCAGATAGGGCAGATGAGCTATTTAGTACAGAGCTTCAAATATAAGAGTACTTCCCCCCCACCCCGCTCAGGCTACCAACTTACCACACCAGGATACTCCTCCTCATTCTCTAGGAAGATCTTCTCTAGCACCAGGAAGGTCAGGAAACCAATGATCACCCAGAGACCCAGAAGCTTCTGCTGCTGAAAGCTCTGCCCTTCTCCTGAAGGACAAAAGAGAAATCTTCATGTCTCTATTAAATACATAGTTTTTCACACAGTTCCAAGAAAAAAAAAAAAGACAGTGGAAAATCTCCCTGCAAGGTAGGAGGGGTAAATACATCTCAAAACAGATTAGTTTAACTTGCCCATTCTTGATTTAACAGATATCATCATCTTGAGACACTCAGAGTGAGAGCTACCATCCCTTTCTCCACATCAGCTCAATCCCAAATATTTCCCGACAACACTGGGAATTTCCCTGAGCTCCAGAGGCAAGTGAATATTACATCAACAAAAATACAGCTGCTGTACCTACTGAGCAGCAAGCCCTGACATGAAATGTGCCATTAGTGGAGTTACAAACTCACCTTCCCCTTTCTGCCACACCTCAGCAAGTTATTAAGCCCAAAGCTATAAACTTTCTTTTCAATTACAGCCAAGCTTTTGAGATAATAATCCATTCAGCCTCACTGCCAGAAATGGAAACTGCATTGCAATGGAAGAACAGAACGACTCTGTATCAGGACTTACATGGGTCAAGGAAACCTTTACACTTCAGGACAGTCTGGCAGAAGCAAACAAGCTTGAGCAGAAAGACAGAGTAATTTGGGAACCACTGTAGAAAGGGTGAAAAAAAGTACAGGAGGTTTTGCTGACAGTGCTAGAGCTGTAATAAAGAAGAGGAGTAAAGGCCTGGCAGATTTGAAATCCCAGGACATAGGTGCAAAAAAGTCTGGGAAACCCAGGGCATCATCTTCCCTCTCTTGCATTTTCAGCAGGAAAATGACTTCTTGGTTTCTCAACAGGTGGGATGCAGCAGCACCTGCCTTCTGTGATATCAGTTTGCTGAAGCAGATAGATACAAACATTATAGGTTTCAGCAACCCTGGCTATTTGAGGGATGAAGGAGCTACACTGATATCAAAAGGTCTATACCAATTCAGTGTTTAGTTTGCTAAACTTTAGTTTGCTAAGTTTCTGTCACTTCCATTTCCTTTTTCTTCCCCTGCCCCACCCTCCAATCTTAATTGTGGCTCTATACACAAGGTTCCATGATTTCTCACAAAGCAAAGACTGCCAACACATGAGCTCCCATAAATCAAAGCATCCAACAGAGGGGCCCCAGTTAGTGCCAAGAAAGAGGTTTTAGGAGTAACACTATTACAGGGACAGATTTGTAAAAAAGGTGAACCTGATCCCCAACTAAGACAGTGAACATGTCCATGTACCAGACCACATACACAACCATAACCTCCCATCAGCTTAAGGAAGCATTCCCTTGCCTTACAGAAGGAACAAAGGAAAATCAACAGTTACAGGAGTCAAAGGCACAATAGGGAAAGTCAATAAACAAGAAAACCATTCCAAGTTACTAAACATAAAGAAACCATGGCAAATTGAGGAAGCCTCTAATTTCAAAGTCTTTGGAGGATTACGGAGTACAAAGATAAAGCATTACGTGTGTGTTTTTTTTATTCTCACATCCCTCCCTAGGCACTTGCTTTTACATATTACTTGGAAAAGGATACCAGCCTAGACCAGTTTTTGGGCTGACCCAGACTGGCTGATCTTGGGCTTTCAAGGCGGAACAGACTCAAAACAGGCACAGCACAAGCTGCTTCCAGGCACAGCACAAGCTGCTTCCAGGCACATAAGGCTCTCGTACCTGTTGTTGCACTGCACGTGTAGGCCCAGGCTTCAGGAAGCAGGTGGAGAAACACATTTCCCAGTAGTCCACCAATTGCAAAACTCAACAACTGCTTCAAACGCTGTGACCCAGCTAAAAAGAGAAAAAGAAGAAACAAGAAGAAAAAAACCTGATCACTACTCAGCCAGGAACCAAGGCATCTCCAGATGAAATTTTGCACGAAGAAACCCGAACTGGAAGCATCTGCAAGCCTTCGAAGGAGAGAGCACAACCAAATGGAGTGCAAGAAAAAGCCCTGACAGCACTTGGCTGAGACAGTAGCGTGTGAACTGTCCTGAACCAAGCAGGGTGAAAAACAGTACTCTTTGTACAAGCTCCATCCAGGGTTTACATTTGTCTAAGGACTCCCTTTCAAATTCACAGGTTCATTAAATTCATTAAAGGACCAAAAACAGACTTTCTATCTTGGAGAACAACATTTCTGTGACAAGGTCCTGTTCACCACTGTGCTGTTGTCACATCCCAGGACATTTGGCTTCAGAAAGGCCAATGCAGTTGACAGATTCACCTTCAGAGCGCAGCGCAGCTCCTGTCTCAAGGGGGATCACCAGCAAGGGGAAGACCCCGCTCAGCCCCACCATGAAGGAACCGATGAGGGAACAGATCCAAGCATCCAGCCGCTCGCTGCTGAACAGGTGTCCCCAAGAGTCTGCCTCCTTGTCACACAGAGAACCAGAACTGGCAGCAGCATGACTCCTCGGGAGCTGCTGAGCTTCACAGGCCGCGATCAGCAACAAGGAGAGTGTCCCGTCAAGCAGGAGTTTTTGTTTTGTCATTGCTAAGTGGTCTCAGCCAGGCTGGCCAATCTCTGAAAAGATAAGGGGAAAGAAGTCCTGAAAACACATTCAACCCTCTGTTCCACCATCCCAGAGGAAAAGCCTTGGCCACACCAAGCCCTCCCTTCAGTGTGAATACCCATGAGGGTATGAATACCCATGAGGAACACCTGAAACTCTTCTGGATTTCCACACAGCACTAAAGGGCAGAGGGGCTGTTTATCAATGGGTGCAGCAAACTGAGACATCTTGGGAAAGCATCAGGCTTTCACTATTTCCCTTCAGATGGGCTGGACAAGGACACCAAGTATCCTTGTTCTTGCCCTTCAGTGTCCCAAGTCTTTAGCAAAAGATATTGACCAGAGATGCTACCCAGGTAAGTCTTCTCTTTGGCATGGAGCAGCACCCCTATAACAAATTAGGATGCAAGACAGGCAACATACCAGAGGTCTGTAAACTCATGAGTGGTGAAAAGATGGGGAACAGGATAGATTATTCACCATCTCATCAGACACAAATGCTGACACCATCCACATGGAGCCAGCGAGGGTCAGCTTCAAAACAAACAAATATGACCCTTCATCAGCAGGTAACTGGGGTGATAGTGCTTCTCCAAAAATGCCGAAAAATTTTACATGCACTCATCTAAAGACAGGACAAGTACTAGAAAGACAAATCTATTGATTGTTAATGGTTAAACAGCTCACATTAGACAGAGGAAATTCCCTGATATGAGAGAAGCTGGAAAATGGAAGTGTACTTGAAAAGTACCGTATCTACTTGTCCTGTTTTCATCCTTTTGTAGAAGGATACTGGATTAGATGGTCTCTTAGTCAAAATCAGCACAGCTGTTAGTAAGAGCTCTGCAATCACAAGAAAACTGGAGAAGAGGGCATGTTAGAAGAGAAAAATAAAGATAATTACAGTCATTAACAAAGAGGGAAAGAAAGCAAATTATGTAAAGGCTGAAGTACAAATGTTCCTTCAATCTCCAGAAGAAAAAGTGAAATGTGACAAGCAAAAATAATTTAGAAATGGAAGGAAAGGGTGGGTTAGAAAAAGACAGACCTAACAAATGTTCACAAAACAGCTCTTGAGAGGTAATAACAGTATTCACCAGAAAGCATGTAAGAAACCAGTCTAATCTCTGAAGCATCAGTGACCATCTTTGAAAATTTACAGGAGTATGGGCAGGCCACAAGAAGGCTGGAGAAGCATCATGCCTCACCTACCTTTATAAAAGGAAAAAAAAAGGTGGGAGAAGTTACACACCAGTAACTTCAATCCTCTGAAGGACTCTTGATCAAATTAAATGATCAGTTGGTAGTTACCTATAAGATAAGAAATTGATAAAGATATCAAAGCATTAAGTAACAGCCAGACAGAAAGGGACCTGAAACTCTCAAGACAAAATTCAGGATGTTGGAGCCAATCTAAGGCTGTGGATGAAAAGGGCAGTGTTGCCCCTTGTCCCCCCCTCCTTCATGAAGCATCGCCTCTCCATGCTCATGCCAGACTCCACAGTGAGTGGTATCAGAACAAACTAGCAGGAAAAACTGCTTTTTTAAACTCATGGCCCTTTGCCAATTTCAGTCCCTGAACAAAAACACTGCAGGAGGAAGCCAAGCTGCAATCAAAAGCAATCAAAAAGAAATTAAGGGACAGGGTCCCATGGCATCTCCGAAGGAGAACACCAATCTCCAAGCACAGTGACCATCAGGAGCAGGGATGCAAGAAGGAATCAGTGAAGACACTGGCTTGGCTAGTTGAGCAAGGACCACTAAAGCCATCACTTTTCTCTTACAACAGAAAAACTAAAATCCCTCAACACAGCAAGTTCAAACCAGCTCAAGATTTTGGGGCATCTTATTGCAGTGTTTTGATCTGGCTGCAGGAACCCCACACCTACCTACAACCTACTATCAAATCTCAGTAAAGATCAGTTCAAAACAGTACACTAAGGGCAGGGGTGGCAGGTGTGAAATCAAATGGAAATGACACAACAGTAATTCCAACATGCCACAAAGAAAAAGCACATTGATTGAGAAATTAATTCCAAGCCAGCAGGCTTGTGTTGCTACAAAAAGGGTAAAAGCCTGGGACACAGCAGTAGTCAGGTGAGTCTTTAGCCAACAGACCACATCCAGCCCCACATATTCATCCTCATAAAACACACACAAAAATCTGAGACACTGCAGTGGAAAGAAACAAAAATCAGAGTGTAGAGAGCAGGACCTGGAAAAACAACCAAAGGACCTGAGTGTGTTTAGTCTTAAGAAGATAACACCAAAGGAACAGAACAGCCTGCATACATTAAGAGTCACAAGAAAGGGGGAAAGTACTCTTCTTCCACATCAGTTCAAATGGTAAACAAGATTCAGCCTGAATATGAATAAATAAATATATATAGTGTCAAAGTGGGGATATACTGAAACAGGTTATACAGGATGCAGAATCTCCAGCACTACTTTTTGTTGGGGTTTTTTTTGTTTGGCTTTTTTATTTTAATTTTGAGAAAAAGAAACTGCTGATGCAGATACCATTTCATTTGCAAGATCAAATCCCTTCTTTGAAGTCCTTCAGGCCTACACCCCTTCCAACCCTGCAGTGAGCCTGATGGATGTCCTCATCCTTTATGATTGGATTAGACCTATAAAATGACTGAGAACTTTGTGAGGAACACACCAAAAATAAGTTGCATAAATCAGAAGCAGCACAAATCTCTTCTGTAACATTGTCACAGCTTTTGAGAATCAATCTGGAAAAGTAAACACTGCAATTGATTCAACAGGTCGATTTCTTGCATTTCATTCTCCACACTCACAACCCACAAAAGTCCCAAGGGACACCTGAAAGGGTCTTAGAGACAGACGCAGTAGCACACAGGACAAAGGTCATGTCCAGGACTCTGAAAAAGGTTTGCATACTTGGCTACATGTCTCTCTTCCAGCCACAAATGCGATCAGGTTCCTCAAAAAGAGGATGGTGGTGGAAAACAAATGGGTATAAAGAGCAGAAAACTGATTCCCTAACTCACATTAATGTTGGTCAACTTTCTGTGGCCCACAGGTCTTTATTCTGCTGTTACTCACATGAGGAAAAAGCAGCACATTTCTTTACTCCTGTGCAGCCAGACCACCATCCTGAGACATCATGCCTCAGGAACAACCCCTTATCTCATGCAATAAATTCCTCATGTTTATAAAACATCTATGAGAAACTCAGTGTATTGTCCAGGACACACCTGAACTGCTCTTTGTGTCCAGCTAATTGCTTAGAGCATATTCCCAGCATTTCCTTATTCTTAACACATCATAACCACTTGCTCAAAAAAAAAAAAAAAAAAGCACTTTTTATCTCTACAGCCCCTTTGCTTCTCCATCTCATTAGAACATTAGCAAAGTCTCTAAATTCAAACATTCAAACTGGTTACCCCTATGGCAAATACTTAAGAGGAAGAAAATAAGCAGTGAAGATGCAGTCATAGGAAAAAAACTGCTCAAGAGGAAAATAATACCCTGTCAAAACAGTTGCAAAGGGTGGAGGAAGTCTATATCTACCCTTAATTTTAGACAACAGCATCTGTTTTAGGAACCCAGTCAGAGAATGTCTTGAGAAATTTCTAGAGAAAGCACTGCAGGCTCTCAGAGACATCTGTGGTCACAAGGCAGAGACACAAACAGGTTTAGAGATGTGTTTTCTCAAGTAGGGTTTATCACATACTTAAGAGCATGCAACTCTGAGAGAAAAATAGCCAGTGGGTCATTTACATATCAGTTTTGACAATTCTCTGTCTGGGATCACAGCTCCCAGCTGTGCTTGATTCACAGCCTGGTGACCAAGACCGCGGGCAGCACTCTCCAGAGCACCACGTGTCTGAGCACTCAGGACTCAGGTCTGCTCAGCTCCTCCTGCAACAGCCTCAGGACTGGAATAATCATTAGGTTTTCCCAGCCCAGAAAGAACAAATAAATGGGAATTTGCAATTTACATGCTCCTGAGCAGGGGCAGAGGAAGCTGCACACCAAGCCAGGAGATCCATGAGGCTCCCAGGGCCTCCCCTACCTCACAGTGCTCACTGAGCACCTCTGTAGCAGGCAGTGACTGAGAAAACATGGACAAAATAAAAATGCCAAGGCAAAAACCTACTAGAAAAGAGAAAATGAAACACTGACATGATGACCATGCTTCTATTACTCCCTTCCTAGACATTCTGCTTTCTCAGACCATACAATTTCTTCTCTCAATGCAATTGCTCATTGCCACATAATAACATTTTAGATGTTGTTGAAAGGAAAAAAAAAAAAAGGCTTTTTTTACCAGTGTTTTCCCTGGAAGCCAGTTGCCTGGTCTTACAGTTGCAAAAGAGTACTGCATGGAATGGAAAAAAGTTATTTTCCAGGGAGGACGCATAATTTTCAGCCAAAAAAACTCTGCATGAGCCACCTCCCTCCATTAGCCCTGTGGAGAGTTTTGAATTCCTCCTGGAAACCCTGACCACGGCAGAAGCACAAAAGGTCTGTAGTACTCCCTGAGCACTCCCTTCTCTCTGAATCACTGCCCATCTCTAAGGAATGCACTGCTCTGATGGGACCCTTCCCTTTTGCCCCACCACTCATAAAAAACCTCTGCACAGACTCACATTTCTGCAAATGACAGCGTGCACAGCTAAAAGCTGGGGATGCACAGGATCACAAACAATGGGTCGCAGATCATTACAGATTACAGACCCGAAGCAAACCTACGAGCTGGCAAGGAAGGCATTTGAAACCGACTGAACACTTACAAGGTTTGGGAGACTGCTACTCCTTCCCCATTCTGCATCCTTTCATCCCTAGGATGAGAGGGAAGTTTGAGGACCAGGCAATGGCCTTCATTTCCCTGGGCTAGGCGGGATGTCTCTCCTCCCAGCCCTCTCTCCGTGGCAGCCCGAAGCACAGGCCGGGCAGACTGCCCCGCTCCCGGGCCGGGCTCCAGCCCCGCTGTCACCGCAGGCGATTAACGCGGCGGGCCCGCTCGTGTCTGTCACATCGCGGCGGATGGGACAGACAGCGCGGGTTTTCCATTAGAGGAACGCTGAGCCATGCAAAGCGAGACACGTTTGCCGCGGGGCGAATTAGTAACGAGCGCTGCTCACGCACCTTTCTGGAGCAGCACATTAGCTGCCGCCCGGGGTCCCTGTGCCGCTGTGGCCGCGCAGCCCCGGCCCCCCCCGCTCCGCGCGTCCCGCGGGGCAGCCCCCGCGCCGAGACCTTCTCGCGGCATCGTCTGCCGGAGGAGGGACTTCCAAAACTTTCTCGGCCGCGTCCCGCGGGGACTGCGCTCGCAGCCCCGGGCACGTCCGCAGCGGCAGCCGCGCGGCGCCGCTCCCCCGGCGAGCCGCGGCAAAGGCGGGCTGCGAGGGGGGACGCGGCCCCGGGAGCCCAGGGGCAGCCCGGCCCCGGAGCGGGCGGCGCGCAGCCCACGGTCCCGCCGGGCCGGGGCACGGCTGCCGGCAGCAGCGGCCCCACCAGGCGCTCCCCGCCACATCTTTCCCAAAGTTATCCCTCGCTCGGCCGGGCCGGACCCCTCTAGAGCCGGACTCGGCTGCGCTGCGTGTGGCGCTGCCCGCCCCCGCTCACCCCGTCCCGCCGCCCGTGGTTGAGCTGCGCTGCCGCACCCGGCCCCGCCGTCCCCCCTCGCACCGCAGCAGCGGCCGGCCGTGGCCCGGCCACCCCCGCCCCCGGGCCGCCAGCCACAGTTACCGTGCGCCACCGCCGCCGTGCCCCGGGCCGCNGGGCACCCGCCGCCGCCGCGCTGCGCTTCCGGCCGCCGCCGCTGTGTCCGGCCGGGCCGGCGGGGCGGGAGCGGCGCTGCCCGCGGGCACGGCCACACGGCCGGACAAAGTCTGGGAAACCGCCCCTCGCGGCGCGCTGTTTGTGCACATCCCCGACGCGGGCTGCGGGACACGCGTGCCGTGCGAGACCCGCACTTCTGCAACATGCTTGCTGAGATTTTTTTTTTAATTTTTTAATCTCTCTAAATGGATTATAAATTCTTTGGGCTACAGATGTCTAGAGACAAGCACAGTGTGAAACCGGGATTTGAGCGGAATTTCTGGAAGTTGTTAGAGGAGAAGAAAGTGTGGCTGAGGACTGAGTCTCGAAATGCTTTTGAAAGATACAATGACTTTTAAACAAATTTGCTTCCTCCTCACAGGTTCACTGCAACCTTCACGATAACTTGTGAACCACCAGAGCTCCTTAAGCACTGGTGTCCTGTTAGTGGTGAAGGTTACCCACGGCTCTTGCAGAGATTTGCAGAAATTGCGTGTGCTTAGGAAACTAGGTCAGAAGAGAATAAAGATTTACCTTTATACAAGCCAAGCTAGGTTGGACCTGTATTGTTTCCAATACAGACACTTTCCAAAATGTACTGATGTACCTTTGAGTTCCATCTCTTACCATTTCCCCTGAGACACAGAACTTGATTCTCGTTCCAGATTTCAGAATGAATCCTATTTCCCAAGAAGGCAGTGCTGATGTTGGTGCTTCTCGCTACGGCTTCACCCGATCTCATTACATCATACCAATGTCATGCCCTGGAGCAGGAGTTAGGAATTAAGTCAGCCGCAGTCGCCTGCAATGGTTTAGCTGCTCTTTCTGCATTCGTCTAACAGCAGCACAGTCCTACAGGCTACTGCGCTGCAAATGCAGTTAGAGATAAGTTGTATCTTTCTTACTCAGAAGCAGAACGTTTATATAGGAAGCTGAATTCTGAAAGCAAACTTTTAAGATAAAGTATTTTGCATTTTGCTCTCAAATTGTACAATTTCTAGTTTTTGTGTTCCACAGCTGCCTTCCTACTGCTATCCTCAGCCTTTCTGAGCCTTGCTCCAGTGACACACTTCCCTGTGCTGATGGATCACAGCTGTGATTATCACAGTTACAGCAAGCAAACCCTCAGGTAAGCCAAACCATACTGAGAATTTCAACTATTGCAAACAGTAGGGGTACCATGGTCTCAGTGAAATGAGTGGGAGTTTGCTTTTGACTCCAGTGATGCAGGAATTCACTCCAAGGCTCTCTGTTGTTATGACATCCTGCTGTAAGTCTACACAGGAAGTATTCTGGATTAAATGTTCGCTCTGTACCTCATGTCATCAGGTGTCAGCTGCTGTGCATCAAATGGAGCTTTTACAGCTTATAGCTTTGGTGGCTGTGCAGTGAAATTTTCAGTGATAGTCTAGAGATCCACATGAAAAAATCAGGGATCTGGGACCTTCTCCTGACTCCCCCAAGCCACAGAATCACTTCAATATAATTTATCTGAAAATTACTTTTAAGTTTCTATTTCTTTTAATAATTCTCTACTGAATTATTTCCCCAGCTGAGGGTAAAAAAACCTGATCACTTTTAAATGTAGACTAGCAAAACAGTCACTATATCCTCAGTTCTCTTTGAATTGTAACTCATGCTCTTGCCTCCCTAATGTCCTTACCTGAGTGTCTCCAATGCTTACCCTTATTTACAATCTTTGTAGTCTTCTTGTATCAGTCTCGCAGGAGCAGGACAATGATGGAACTGAGAGAGCTTTCCAGAAGAGAGTTAAAACCAAAAAAAGTAAACCCATTATAGTTCAGTGGCACCATGAAGGCAGAGACATGGGGTACCCCTCATGCACAGCCCCCAGAGGCTGCTGTGCTGCACATCCACAAAAGGCGAGAGCAGTGGAGCACGGGACTTACATTGGTTACTGAAAAGTTAAGTCACTCAAAAGTGTTAGTCAATTCATGACAAATGCTACATACACATTATTATTATTATTATTATCCTTTAAAGACATACTTTAATTGATAAAGGAGTATGTTATTAGCTGGATAACCCATATGAAAAATCCGTTTACAGTATTTCGGCTGCAAACAAATTAAGATTAATAAATATCGAAGGAAGCGCGGAGAAGCGGTGTTTCTGCTGTCCCGGCCGGTTCCCGGCGGCGCTGGCCGCAGCCCCGGGCTCCGGAGCACACCGGGGCTGCAGTGCCGCGGGGGCCCCGCGCGGCGGCGCTGCCCGCCCGCCCAACGGCGCCGCCGGGAGCCGCGGGCCGGGCCCGGAGCGTCCTCGGGGGGAGCAGGGAAACCCGTCCGCAGGGAAGCGGGTGTGGCCTGGGGGGTGAGAGCCCGTCTGTGGGACACGGGCCGCCACAGCTGTGTGAGAGCCCGTCTGTGGGAGACGGGCCGCTACAGCTGTGTGAGGCACCTGAAGGCCGCGCGGAGCCCATGGCGCGGGACCGGCCCCGGCAGTGCCCGGCCGGGCGGGGAGCGAGGCGCTACCGCTGGTGGCCTGTCCCCACGAACGCGCCGCGTTGTGCTGGAGGAGGCGAACAGCCCGAGCTCAGGGATGGTGTCACCTTCCCCCGGTCACACCGGCGCCACGGGAGGCTTTCCTTTAGCCTCGAGTGGATCAGAAAGCTTGGCAAGCTTCTGCTCTGACTGAAGGACGGGGGCCTGCAGAGGAGCCTGGCTCACTGGCCGCCGCAGGGGAGTGGTCTTCCCCAGAAAGACGTTTTGGCAGCTGAATTTCCCAAAAAACTTGCTCATAAAGGGCTCATAGTGGCTTAATAAATTCATGCTTCCTTGCATTTAATAGTGCTCTCTCTACTCGGTCCTCAGGACCTTCTAAAACATACTTTTTCTTGTGGTATAGTAAGAAGGTCACTTTTGTAAAAGGGTGGGGCCTGAGCACTGCCCCGAAACTGCACTTGCTGCAGAGAAAAGGTACCAGAGCCCCAGCAAAATCTCTGGAGAGGTCGCATCAAAACATCTCTGGAAGGCCTGCATGTGGAGGACTCGACACTGACAGAGGGCACGGGCAAGCTGAGAAACAGGGCCAGACCATGAATGTGGACAGTGCAGAAAGATTTTTAAATTCCCCAAAAAAGGTGGTCAGACACTGGAATAGATGTCTGAGGTTTCTGTGGTATCTCTGGGAGATTTTCAGCAGTTCAGCTGGCCCCGACCTTGAGCAACTTGATCTACTTGAGAAGCTTCGAGTAGGAGACTGGCCAAAATGACCTTCTAGAGATCCTTGTCAACCTAATGTTTTCTCTAATGATCTCTGATTCAGAAAAAAAACAGTATCAAGGGGTAAGTGAATCAGAGGGAGCCCTCAAAGTATGTGAAAGGAGCTGTGAGGCCCCAGCAGAGGCATTTTTGCCCACTGTTTGGTGGGGCCGAAGGCAGTAACACTGTTGCCTGGAAGTCCTGCTCTGACTCATCCCAGGAGACATTTCTGCAAGGCACGGCCGAAAAGGAGAAGTGACTGCTGAGCCCTGAACGGGGGGTGGGGAGGGGAGCTGGCCCCATGGAAGCTCAGAACAGGGAATTTTAGTCTTACTCATCATATTATTTTTGTATTTGGGTTTTCAGATGTAAAGCTCAGTATTTCTGTCAGCATATTAACTCTGTGTGCACCTCAAGTTTGTCCACTAGCTCTAGTGACTGCTTTTATGTCCGCTTCCATGCACAGATGCACAGCTTCCAGCTGGGAGCTCAGTCTGACGCTTTACTAGTATTTATAAGGAATTTTTGAACTGCCTGGTCAGTGCTGTTTTATTTGGGCAGAATTCTGTGTCATTCTGGGGGAAGAAGAAAAAAAGATGGACCTGGTCTTGGAAAGCCAGAGAGCAGGTTAGGGCAAATGAGCGAAATGTGGCAGATAAGAAAACACGAAAAATAGATGATTTTCAAAAGTTAGAATGGAGATTCATGCTGATTTACCTCATCTTAACAAGTATAAGCAAGAAACTGAAGGGAAATCTATGCAATCATGGAAAACAAACAATGCTGGAAGCTCTAGCAGAATCTAAACCTCTAGCAGAAAACCAGCATGTGTTTGTTCTTCACTAGAGTTTCAGACTTAAATAGTGAGGTCACACTACTATCCTACCAAGCTGGATATGTGTTTTGTATTTGATACAGAGTTGTCTTTGTCTTAGCTCTAAATGTAGTTAATGCTGGGTTCTGACCATGAAAGAAGGCTTCCTTATGTTTTTCAGTGCTCAGTAATGAAAACCTGATTTCTATAACCTAGCACAGCTTCATGTCTCCAGGGTAGAGACCCAGCTCTGGCAGAGGACAGGCTGCAGTTGTGTATGCATGTTTCAGTATCAGTGCTGCAGGCATACACATACTTCATAAGCTACATTCACACTTCCAGGCTCTGCACAGCGTGTGATCTACATCCCTCCCTAGTGAGGGCCATATTCTGCATGCTGGTGCCAAGATTCACACTCTCAGCTACTGCGAGTAGTGAGGCCTGTGCTGTCACTCACCTTGATCGCTGTAGGCTTCACACTGTACAGAGCTACTGACTGTAAGTGGAGGAGCCATCACTTGGCAGAGCTGTAAGGTTGTGAGGTGTGGTGCGAAGAGAAGGTTTAAATATCAGGCCTCTGTAATGAGGGGGTTGGTTGTAATGAAGGATCTCCAAAGCCACTTCTATGGCTCAGAACAATGCCTACCTCAAGCCAGCAAAGACAGAATTAAATTTCCCAGTTTCTTAAATTCAAGAGGATCCATTATTAGCATTGACCACTCAAATGTTAAGTGCAGTTATTGCAGCCTAGTCCAGTTTTCTTCTAATGAGGAAGTCACAACAGTGTAGAGGTCAGGGGTTTACAGTCTCCTTCCAGACTCTTGATGAATCTATGCTGTCTCCATTTGGGTAAAACACAGAACTACTCAGGTTTGTAGGTTGGTACGAGTAGCTCTGTAAGACCTAGGAGGAC